TTTTTTTTTTAATTAATTAATTATTATGCAAGTGTGATTTTGTGATTTTGCTCTATGGACTTTGGCTGGATTTGGGTTCATGAATTTGAAGGCATCTGAGTTTTTTCTTGTTTCGAATTTGATTGTAAGATTGTATTTCTGGTTTTGTTGCAAATTCGTACACGATATTGGGATTTAGAAATCAAGTTAGTCTGTCCTAGTTTAACTGGAGAAAATGGATTGGAAAAACTATATGACCTGATTGGAAAATGGATTCGGCTGGTAATCCATTTGCAGCCTAACTTGTTATGATAAGTTGCATATTGTTTATGGTTTGTGAGTGTATATCCTAGATTAATTATATGAATTGAACCTACCGAACGATGATTTGAAGTATTTTATTGAAATGTAAAAGGTTTGACATGGTTGATAAATTGGTTCATGTGTTGGAACAAAATTTGGGTCCTTAAAGTTAGGTGGAAGAAATAGTTATATCATGTTTGGTTTATTTGGTGTGTGAAGTATAGTAGTAAATGGAGAATGTACTAGTTTTAGGGAAAGTGCATTTGATCTTGCCTTTTGTAGAGCTATTTAGAATGAAGAAGAAGATGATTGGTGGTATTATACATGGGATATGAGTTTGTTTGTTTTTTTTTAATTTCTCACCGGAGCCAAAATCGATACACAAATTAGTTTCATTGCGCCCGATCGGATGTTACTCATTAGTGATGTGCAGTCTTTTCTTTTGGTTACAGATGTTCCACCTAATGCCAACACCTCAGGGCAGCTACTTTGTGCTCAATGACATTTTCCGGCTGAATTATGCATAAGAGTTGTGCAGATCGAGAAATGAAAGATCAGATAGTGCATCAAAGAGAATTTTGTCCATGGTTGTCATGTTGGGTTTTAAGATGAATTTAAGACTTATCTCTCTCTCTCTCTCTCTCTCTCTCTCTCTCTCTCTCTCTCTCTCTCTCTCTCTCTCTCTTCTTTTAGAGATTGGAAGAATGTTTTTGGTCTGTGTTTGGTTATGACATGTGGTTAAGAATGACTTGAGAGTTGCTTCTTTTTGTGGTGAAGTAGCATTTATGTCCTGTTTGATGCTTGTGTGTAATGAAATCACACACTTAAAATTGGAGTTTATATAACAAATCTAGAATGTCCAACAGCAGATTTATCTGTCATGATGACTAAATCTGTCATGATGACTTGTGATGAACGACACGAGTTGATGCCGTTTTCCTAGCAAGAAACCTCGAATTGATTGCTCAAAATGACTTGTGATGAACGACACGAGTTGATGCCGTTTTCCTAGCAAGAAACCTCGAATTGATTGCTCAAAAGACAAACGCACTGCCAACAAAACCTAATTGCTCGATTTATTTTGGACAACCAAATTTCAAACAACGAACCAACTTTTCCTAGAAAGACTTGAGAATAATGCAATGTTAAAACACTGTCTTTGTGGCTGTCTCTTAAAAATCAGTCTTAACATCACTACCATGACTATCTACTTTTCTGCTTATTAGCCATCAAAACAAAAACACCAACCATTTAGCATTACGATGACAATTGTGTTTTAGACTTGAAAAAAAAAAAAAAAAAAACTTATCCTCATTTTCTACACAGCAATGAAATTAATAGAAACTAGGCACTAATAAATCTCAGCGTTCCCCATTAGGTAAGAAGAAGTAATGTCACGTTGAGAAGATGATGATGATGATGATGATGATGATGATGATGGTGCCGTATCAGGGTCTGATGTCTCCAGCTCTGCCTGCCACATAATATAACAATAAAGCCATTACAAATAAGGCAAAATCATAAAAAATTAATTGACGTAAAACTACCTTACCTTAGCTTGCCGATATTTTAGAAGAAGTCGATGATACTGCTGGCGGGCAGTAGGAGACTCGACCATAGACAACACTCTGGAAACAGCCTCGTCAATGGCATCATCCACTTTCTGCTTCCGGAATACTTTCAGTATGTCCTCCTCATCATCGTCGTCAATCGGCTCTGAGTCTAGCCGAAAACCACGTAAGCCAACTCCATGCCTACGCCACCTCAGTATAACCTTCTCCAGTATACCCACCGCCCAACACACCTTGTAATTCTTCCTTACTTGGTATCCCCTTACATGAGCCTACCAAA